CAAAGAGCAGAGATCATCGAATCCCTCTCAGTTGTCTCACTCATGGTACACTAACATGCTAAGGTCTAACCCATGGTAACGTGGTTCATGCTTGTTTCATTTAATCTCATAAATAATCTTTATGAAGCTGGTTTTTCTCCAATCTAATCACATGAAAAAAACCTGAGCACAGACGGACATATTGTGAATAACATGGTGAGCTGGGATTGAACCCAGATTCTTGACTCTTAAGTTTCATGGCTAAGTAGTTACTTTCCTAGCTTTTAAGGCAGAGTAGTTATCTTCACTTTCCATCCTCAAATATCTGGGTTTCTCATGCCTACTGGCACGGTGGTTAGGCAATGGGATACAAACTCAAATCTTAAATCAGACTGACATGGTGGGCCACGCTTGAAGTCGCCTGTCACTTGGGAGCTGAGGCAAAGGACCACTAAAGCCCAGGAATTTGAGGTACAGTGAGCTATGATCATGCCACTGCACTCTAGCCAGGGTGACAAAGCAAGGCTCTGTCTCAAAAACTAAAACAACTGCACAATAACTTCACATAGCCACTAATACATGACATACAATAACAGAGATCATCAATGCCTACCTCTATAATCCACTCTGACGCTTGCTGGCGAACAAGATCTGGAGGCATTTCTGTACACAAGACTGTCAAGACGGGTTAGCTTATATGAGCGGGTGTTCACATTACACATTTACTTCTTCGTTTTCTCCATGGTTTCCTGCATAAGGCCCATAGGTGCAGCATTTTTTCAGTAATCAGTTGATCAGTCACACACATTCATCAACATAATCGGTATTCGCATTTTTGGTAAGAAGTATCTTCTGTATTTATTATGCATAAAGCATGCCTTATCAACATCAAAGTCCACTCCAAGAAGAGTACACGATCAGTAATAGTGCGGAAACTATGCTTCATTAGCTTAGGACAATTGGCAATTGGCTGCCAGGCAATAATCCTCCAGGAATTCCTGGTCATGGACAGTCAATCAAAGGTGGTTCAAAGAGCCATGTAATGATCTCAGTGTCCACAGGAAGAAAAGAGAAGGCAAGAGTGTAGACCAAAGAACTCTACAGAGATCTAGTATCTCTCCACATCCGTCACTCGTATATTTAGGTCCAGCAGCAGGGTAATGCAGGGTAAAGACAGGCTTCTTCCTTTACATCAATCTGAAAGCTCAGGGTCTGGACTCGGAAGATCCCTTAATAGTCGCACACCAACAACACTTCAGGACCAAAGGAGAAACTTCTATACGACTTACTGTTGCTCCTGATCAGCCAGACTGGCTGGTGTTAGTACACATTACCTACATGTTTAAACCACTGGGCTGAAGTGATGTATATGTTAACACCTTTCTTGTGTACAATACGGCAATATACAAGAACAAACTTAACTGGCTACACATCACAGATTTATCAAAAACACACCCACAAAACAAACCACACACCACCAACACAAACACACAAAAAACACACAAGCACACACATCTAGAAAAGTCTTTTAAACAATAAAAAAAAGAGACATTATATACAATGACTCGAACTATTCTCAACACAATACACACACACTATAAACACAGGAGAGAAATCATACTCATTAAAGAAGACACAACAACAATACAATACATTGCTTATCTTAACACACACACAACAGATATAAAACATTTCCACAAATATCATAACCAATAATATCAACACCAGCAACTTGGAGAAAGAGAAAACAACAACAAAACACAGAACAACATGAGGAAACTTTACAACAGAACAGACAAAAAACTCAACCGAGTAAACACATAAAAAAATCCTTAACATCACAAGAACAACAGAACATAACAGATAATCTACTAAATTGTTCAACAAGCAAGAAGTTGCAAGGGTAACCAAAAAAAAAAACATAGCTATATTTCACATTCTAGCCACTTCCTTTGTCCCGCATAATCTTGATTGATCCCAATTATTCTACAATTTCAGCATTTTCATTTGACCCACAGCGGGCGGGGATGGGCACGCAATACCAATTACCAGAGCCTATTTTCATCTCTTAACTAAAAAATTACACAGATACATGCAACCAGATTTTGTGGTAAAGGGTGGATCTGATGCTCTGATTTAAAATGTCTTAAACACATGTTATCACATACCTTTTAATAGGGACCACTTTAGCAGAGGTTTCATTTTAGCGTCTTGGGTCTCATTTGGGGCGTCTACAGAGAGAGAGAGACCAGATAATTACCGATCAGTACTCTCGGATCTATCCAGTAACGCTATTCATTCATCAAAAGTAAGTACCATTGGAATTTATAATAGCTATTTAATATTTGGAGAGTTGAAAGTAGTTTTTAACAAAATATGCTAAGATTTCAGGGCGTGGGCCCGGCACAGGGGGCTCAGGCTGTCTCTAGCACTCTGGGAGGCAAGGCGGGGTGGCTTTGCTCAGGTCAGGCAGTTTCGAAACCAGCCTGAGCAAGCAGCGAGACACCTCTTCCTACTAGTCACAGAATAGAAATTAATTGCAACTAATAATACTAAGAAAAATTAGCGGGCATGGTGGCATATGCTGTTGTCCCGCAGCTAACTCGGAAGCGGCTGAGGGCAGGCAGGATCAACACACTTGGCCCAGGAGGTTGAGGTTGCTGTGAAGCCTGGGCTGAGCATGGCACTCACTCTAGCCATAAGAGAGAACACAAAGCGCGACTCAGATACATCAAAAAAAACACAACAGATACACAACGGGAATGCTAGAACACACACACAATAAATCAACAAACACACATCACACACAACACACATAACACACAACACCTAAAACTGGCTAATACCATCCTGCGACCTTTGCAAACATTAGGTTACACAAACTCACCTGTAGCTCGTCGTCACTCGCTTTTTCTTGCTGGGACTTTGCAGAGTCATCTGATAAATCAGATTCCTTTGCTCTTGCCTGATTTTCTACCAAGAAAAAAATAAAAGTAAAATCTCGTTACAATTAAATATCTTATGTCGATAAAACTGCTTTAGGTTATGAATGCTCAAAATCTACTGATATGCAAAGAACTTTTAAAACTAACTAAAGTCACTGAATTTCTTACTTCGTGACTACCCTTGTCTAAAATGGAATGGGGTTATTACATGTAGCTCTTTAAATTATAATGTGGGCTGTGTCTGCTGTGTGGGGCTTTTGTTCAAGGCTATTCACTTGCCAACTGGAAACAAAAAGGAAGCAAGCTCTGCTAAAGTATTCAGAGAACTACAAC